AGGGTTGGTTAGGTTCGGTCATATATCTACGTTAATTTTAACTCCAATAACAAAAAATTGACCTCATACATAGAGAAAAGGGTTGCTTTATCATTTCATAAGAAAAAAATTATAGTAATTATATTAATTCAGGAAAACTTGGCTTATTAGGCAAATCGGGCCTTGAATAGTAGGCTGAGAAGTGAGTTCTGGCTACTAGGTACGACATATATATATATATATATATGTCGAACCTAGTAGCCAGAACTCACTTTTTGGCCAACTATGCAAGGCCTGATTTGCCTAATAAGCCAAGTTTTCCTGAATTAATATATTTTCTCTAATTTTTTTCTTATGAAATGATAAAGATACCCATTTCATTATGTATGAGGTCAATTTTTTTTTATTGGAATTAAAATTAACGTAGATATATGACCGAACGTAACCAACCCTACCTAACCTAACCTAACCTATCTTTATAGGTTAGGTTAGGTTAGGTAGCCGAAAAAGTTAGGTTAGGTTAGGTTAGGTATGTTAGGTAGTCGAAAAACAATTAGTTCATGAAAACTTGGCTTATTAGGCAAATCGGGCCTTGCATAGTAGGCTGAGAAGTGCGTTCTGGCTACTAGGTACGACATATATATATATATATATATATATATATATATATATATATATATATATATATATGTCGTACCTAGTAGCCAGAACTCACTTCTCAGCCTACTATTCAAGGCCCGATTTGCCTAATAAGCCAAGTTTTCCTGAATTAATATATTTACTATAATTTTTTTCTTATGAAATGATAAAGCTACCCTTTTCACTATGTATGAGGTCAATTTTTTTTTATTGGAGTTAAAATTAACGTAGATATATGACCGAACCTAACCAACCCTACCTAACCTAACCTAACCTATATATATAGGTAAGGTTAGGTTAGGTAGCCAAAAAAGCTAGGTTAGGTTAGGTTAGGTAGGTTAGGTCGACGAAAAAACATTAATTCATGAAAACTTGGCTTATTAGGCAAATCGGGCCTTGCATAGTAGGCTGAGAAGTGAGTTCTGGCTACTAGGTACGACATATATATATATATATATATATATATATATATATATATATATATATATATATATATATATATATATATATATATATATATATGTCGTACCTAGTAGCCAGAACTCACTTTTTGGCCTACAATGCAAGGCCCGATTTGCCTAATAAGCCAAGTTTTCCTGAATTAATATATTTTCTCTAATTTTTTTTCTTATGAAATGATAAAGCTACCCATTTCATTATGTATGAGGTCAATTTTTTTTATTGGAGTTAAAATTACGTAGATATATGACCGAACCTAACCAACCCTACCTAACCTAACCTAACCTATCTTTGTAGGTTAGGTTAGGTTAGGTAGCCGAAAAAGTTAGGTTAGGTTAGGTTAGGTAGGTTAGGTAGTCGAAAAACAATTAATTCATGAAAACTTGGCTTATGAGGCAAATTTGGCCTTGCATAGTAGGCTGAGAAGTGCGTTCTGGCTACTAGGTACGACATATATATATATATATATATATATATATATATATATATATATATATATATATATATATATATATATATATATATATATATATATATATATATATATATATATATATATATATATATATGCAGAATAACCACATATGAAAAATAGAAAATGCTTAACGCGTTTTCGGCTAATTCGCCTTCATCAGAGCAAAGTAGAATCAAATAGAATCTTCTACTTTGCTCTGATGAAGGCGAATTAGCCGAAAACGCGTTAAGCATTTTCTATTTTTCATATGTGGTTATTCTGCATACTTGGATCAGTGTTTTTGTGATCATTGTTGCATATATATATATATATATATATATATATATATATATATATATATATATATATATATATATATATATATATATATATATATATATATATATATATATATATATATATATATATATATATATATATATATATTAACTTACGAACCTCTACATTTTTTCACAATCTTAGATGGTTTTGTTAATTTTTATTAAACCCCTCCCTGTCTCTCCCTATACACACCCTCCCCGTCTCTCCCTACACACACCCTCCCTGTCTCTCCCTACACACACCCTCCCTGTCTCTCCCTACACTCACCCTCCCCGTCTCTCCCTACACACACCCTCCCTACACACACCCTCCCTGTCTCTCCCTACACACACCCTCCCCGTCTCTCCCTACACACACCCTCCCTGTCTCTCCCTACACACACCCTCCCTGTCTCTCCCTACACACACCCTCCCTGTCTCTCCCTACACACACCCTCCCCGTCTCTCCCTACACACACCCTCCCTGTCTCTCCCTACACACACCCTCCTCGTTTCTCCCTACACACACCCTCCCTGTCTCTCCCTACACACACCCTCCCTGTCTCTCTCTACACACACCCTCCCCGTCCCTCCCTACACACACCCTCCCCGTTTCTCCCTACACACACCCTCCCTGTCCCTCCCGACACACACCCTCCCCGTCCCTCCCTACACACACCCTCCCTGTCTCTCCCTACACACACCCTCCCTGTCTCTCCCTACACTCACCCTCCCTGTCTCTCCCTACACTCACCCTCCCTGTCTCTCCCTACACACACCCTCCCCATCTCTCCCTCCCCGTCTCTCCCTACACACACCCTACCTGTCTCTCCCTACACTCACCCTCCCTGTCTCTCCCTACACACACCCTCCCCATCTCTCCCTCCCCGTCTCTCCCTACACACACCCTCCCTGTCTCTCCCTACACTCACCCTCCCTGTCTTTCCCTACACACACCCTCCCCATCTCTCCCTCCCCATCTCTCCCTACACACACCCTACCTGTCTCTCCCTACACTCACCCTCCCTGACTCTCCCTACACACACCCTCCCCATCTCTCCCTACACTCACCATCCCCGTCTCTCCCAACACACACACCCTCCCTGTCTCTCCCTACACTCACCCTCCCTGACTCTCCCTACACACACACACCCTCTCCGTCTATCCCTACACACACACCCTCCCTGTCTCTCCCAACACACACCCTCCCCGTCTCCTCTAATCACTGTAAGTCTTTAATACTTGGACCTTAACTCTTCAAACATTTACACAACATTTATATTCCCTCCAAATACAGACCTCCATTTACCCCACCAACCTTCCCCATGTCCCCCAGCACACCCTCTGCATATCTCTCCACAAGCACTCCCCATGTCCCCCAGCACACCCTCTGCATATCTCTCCACAAGCACTCCCCATGTCCCCCAGCACACCCTCTGCATATCTCTCCACAAGCACTCCCCATGTCCCCCAGCACACCCTCTCCATATCTCTCCACAAGCACTCCCCATGTCCCCCAGCACACCCTCTGCATATCTCTCCACAAGCACTCCCCATGTCCCCCAGCACACCCTCCCCATATCTCTCCACAAGCACTCCCCATGTCCCCCAGCACACCCTCTGCATATCTCTCCACAAGCACTCCCCATGTTCCCCAGCACACCCTCTCCATTTCTCTCCACAAGCACTCCCCATGTCCCCCAGCACACCCTCCCCATATCTCTCCACAAGCACTCCCCATGTTCCCCAGCACACCCTCCCCATATCTCTCCACAAGCACTCCCCATGTTCCCCAGCACACCCTCCCCATATCTCTCCACAAGCACTCCCCATGTTCCCCAGCACACCCTCTCCATTTCTCTCCACAAGCACTCCCAATGTCCCCCAGCACACCCTCCCCATATCTCTCCACAAACACTCCCCATGTTGACCTCTCCCCGACCGGGGAGCCGGTCGGCCGAGCGGACAGCACACTGGACTTGTGATCCTGTGGTCCCGGGTTCGATCCCGGGCGCCGGCGAGAAACAATGGGCAGAGTTACTTTCACCCTATGCCCCTGTTACCTAGCAGTAAAATAGGTACCTGGGTGTTAGTCAGCTGTCACGGGCTGCTTCCTGGGGGTGGAGGCTTGGTCGAGGACCGGGCCGCGGGGACACTAAAAAGCCCCGAAATCATCTCAAGATAACCTCAAGATGTTCCCCAGCACACCCTCTCCATTTCTCTCCACAGGCACTTCCCATGTTCACCCACAACACACCCTCTTTCCTCCCTCTCTGCCCTACACATGTCCTTGCACTGTTTCCTCCCATCTTGTTCACACTTGTCCTCTCCCCTTTCTCATCTCTCGCTGCCTACACACTTCATTCTCCAAAATGTTGCTCCAAGACTGCAAATATGTTATCTGCATTTTCTAAAACCAATATCGGAATTCAATATTATTTAAGCTAATCCTCCAGTCTGTAAACTGAAGTTAACAAAAATATATTTCATGATGGAGGAATATTGAGGTCGAACAAAGTCTAATGAAGCTAGCTCCAAGCTGGCTTTCTATCTCTAACACAGACATTCTCTCTTATAGATATATATTATTATAGTTACTATTCGTGATAAACGTTATCTATTGTAATAAATTCTAAAGTGAATCAGTGTGATTGCCTGTTCTGTATGCTTTCCTGTACCATTTAATAAAATTCAACAGCACATGGTATGATTATAGGGGTTATCATTCATGAAGTGAGAACCTATACGTTAATGTGACATGGTCAATGCAAACCATGTAAGAGATCCGGTAACTCGCAAAATCAAGTTTTTGGAGGTACCCTGTTAGGTGTTGGCTTTCACAGCTCCTGAAATCCTGGTTTTTGGAGAACATTGAAACTCAGCCCTATTAGTTATCAGGAGAAGCCAGGATTGCATGAAGATCAAGTTTAACTGTAATTGCGTGTTGAAAATCTCCACAATACTATATATCATTTATAGTGATGATCATGCATAGGTAAAAATTTTAATGTCCACAAAAGTCGGGCCGCTCCACAGACCCCGGTCAATGTCATGTACCTTTGACAAACATTTGCCCATACCCACCACACATATAGTAGCGAGGATTGGAAATCTTATGTACTTAATGACTTGCTTCTCTATTCCAACAGATGAAGGTGACAATATTGCTTCTATGTGGCTTGGCTCTAGCGGCAGCCCATCCCACCTGGGAAGAATTCAAGGTAAAGCAATTCTCATTTAAAATTTCCTGGATGTTGAATGCCATTGTGATTTACTTGGCCGCCTAAAGTAAATACAGATTATTAGAACCACAAATAATTGTTAACTTAAACATCAAACCCCATGAAGCTTATATAACATTTATATTAAATCTTGTAAATAAAAAAATAGCTTGTTTTTTAATCAGAGAGAATTTCATCTGTTTCATTTATCATTAAAAAATAAAACAACTGTGAAATTTTTGTTGATTAAAGCACTGTTTGATTTAATTAAATAATATATGAACAACCAAACTAGGTTATAAACTAAAAATTTGCATTATATAAATACAAAATGAAAGTTAGGAACCAAACCTGACGTGTCCTAGTAATCATAGGCTAAATAAATGTCATCTTAGGCCTAATATAGTACATATATGTGCTATAGTAGGAGAAGAAATGTTAACGGTTTGGTCAATATCCTTTTTCCTGAAATCTAGATAATTAAAAATATGTATCAAGAGCTTTATGGTGGTCCAACACTGTGTAACGGTCTTTTGAACAAACAGTTACTGTAAGTACAATAATTTTAAACGGAAAGGTTGGTAGAAAGAGGATACAATGAATAAGAGAAGATTGTGTTTCAAACGTTGATTGCAAAAGCCAGTGTCTTATGTATTAGATGACAGTAGGTGTATCTGTTAGAACTAAGGAATAAATAAAGAAAGGCAAGGAAACAGTAAACAAGTGAAATGAATTGTTGGAGATGAAGGTTGAGAAGATGTAGTGCAGGTGAACACTCAAGCTCTGTACATCAGGAAGTAAGCCACGCAATTTGAATAATATTAACTGCAGGTTTACAAAGTTAATATATGTCGTACCAAGTTGCCAGAACGTACTTCTTGGCCTACTATGCAGGGCAAGATTTGCCTAATAGGCCGAGTGATTTTCTTTATTGTCAATAAATTGTTTTCAATTAGTTTATTTGAATTATAATTATTAAATTATACTAGGATTTTAAATTACTGACTTAATTGTGTTAGTTTAGGTTACGTCGAGCGGAGCCGGTCGGCCGAGAGGACAGTACGCTGGACTTGTGATCCTGTGGTCCCAGGATCGATTCTGGGCGCCGGCGAGAAACAATGGGCAGAGTTTCTTTCACCCAATGTCCCTGTTACCTCGTAGTAAAATAGGTACCTGGGTGTTAGTCAGCTGTTAGCCCCTGTGGGTGGAGGCCGGGTCGAGGACCGGGTCGCGGGGATACTAAAGCCCCGAAATCATCTCGAGATAACCTCAAGATAAGATAACCTAGGCTTAGATAGGTAAGGTTAGGTTAAGTAGGGTTGGTTAGGTAGGCCATCCGGTTGTGATACTCAAGTGGATTAAGGCGTCCTGTACATACCAGTTGTGTTGCTCCTCGCAGTACGGGTTAGAGTCACTTCTGGGGTGTGAGTTTTCAGTTGCATATAGTCCTGGCAACCCGTCTCGCAAATTCGTAAAGTCAATATTGACTTATTAACTACGTGCATAGGTGATATACTAAACATAATAGATACCCTTAAAAAGATTCATAGAAAACACCGTCCTTACCTAACCTACTTAGTATCTTAAGATAAGCATCTTATTGCTTCGTAATTACAATTATTACTTAACCTATACCTATTATAGGTTAGGTAATAATTGTAATTACGAAGCAATAAGATGCTTATCTTAACATACTAAGAAGGTTAGGTAAGGTCGGTGTTTTCTATGAATCTTTTTAAGGGGATCTATTACGTTAAGTATGTCACCTATGCACAGATTTAATAAGTCAATATTGACTTATTAAATTTGCGAGAACGGGTTGTCCTGGGGACCATTCAGGCTTGTCCGCATTTGTGTTCCTCACGTGTGCCCCAAAGAAAGAGGTGATTCGATAAAATTCTATGCCCAAGATTACCATCAGAGTGCCAGTGGGCTGTTGGGCTAAATAGCCTCGGCTACTATCAGTTTTTGTCCAGTCGTGATGGTCAAGTGGATTAAATGGATGTTTCTTATATTTCTTTTCACTGTTGATGGTAACTGAAAAATCAATTCTCCAAAATTAATTTTTATTTCTAGTCTGACGCGACACTTGAACGCGTTTCGTAAAACTTATTACATTTTCAAAGACTAGTTTACACACACACACAACTACAACTGAACAGAGTTTAAACAGCTTCGATTTTATACCTGCATATGGGTGAGGTGATATGTTACAACAGTTTTGGATGAGGTGAAAACAAACTTTCAACACAAGACAGAACACGAAACAAGGAGTATAATATTTTGTAAGTTAAAGGGAAGAATGGAAGTAACTGCAAAAGGCCTAATGGCCCATATTTCTTGATGCTTCTATATTGGTGCGGAGTCTTGAAGTGGGTAGAATATATTTGTGCATTAATTGGCTGTTGATAGCTGGTGTCGACTTCTTAATGTGTAGTGCCTCGCAGATATCTAGCCGCCTGCTATCGCTGTATCTATCGACGATTTCCGTGTTTTTTGTTAAGACTTCTCTGGTGATGGTCTGGTTGTGGGAAGAGATTATATGTTCCTTAATGGAGTCCTGTTTCTTATGCATCGTTAATCGCCTAGAAAGAGATGTTGTTGTCTTGCCTATATACTGAATTCTTTGAGGCTTACAGTCCCCAAGTGGGCATTTGAAGGCATAGACGACATTGGTCTCTTTTAAAGCGTTCTGCTTTGTTTCTGGAGAGTTTCTCATGAGTAGGTTGGCCGTTTTCTTGGTTTTATAGTAGATCGTCAATTGTATCTTCTGAAATTTTGTATGTAGTGATAACGTTTCTATTAACAATATCTTTCAGAACCCTTTCCTCCGTTTTATGAGCTGTGGAAAAGAAGTTCCTGTAAAATAGTCTAATATGGGGTACAGGTGATGTGTTATTTGTCTCTTCAGAGGTTGCATCGCGTTTCACCTTCCTTCTTATGATGTCTTCAACGAAACCATTGGAGAAGCCATTGTTGACTAGGACCTGCCTTACCCTACAGAGTTCTTCATCGACTTGCTTCCATCCTGAGCTGTGGGTGAGAGCACGGTCGACATAAGCGTTAACGACACTCCTCTTGTACCTGTCTGGGCAGTCACTGTTGGCATTGAGGCACATTCCTATGTTTGTTTCCTTAGTGTAGACTGCAGTGTGGAAACCTCCGCTCCTTTCCATGACTGTTACATCTAGAAAGGGCAGCTTCCCATCCTTCTCCATCTCGTAAGTGAAACACAACACAGAATTCCTCTCAAATGCCTCCTTCAGCTCCTGCAGATGTCTGACATCAGGTACCTGTGTAAAAATGTCGTCAACATACCTGCAGTATATGGCCGGTTTCAAGTTCATGTCGACTAAGACCTTTTGTTCGATGGTACCCATGTAGAAGTTCGCAAACAGGACACCTAGGGGCGAACCCATGGTGACCCCATCTACTTGCTTATACATGTGCCCATCCGGGCTCAAGAAGGGTGCCTCTTTAGTACAAGCTTGGAGTAGTTTCCTTAGAATGTTTTCTGGTATGTCAAGAGGAGTACAGGCCGGATCACGATACACTCTGTCCACTATAATCCCAATTGTTTCATCCACAGGTAAGTTGGTAAACAGTGATTCTACATTCAACGAGGCTCTTATCCCTGTGGCCCGTGTTCCCCGCAGTAAGTCAACAAATTCCTTTGGAGACTTCAGGCTGAAGGTGCAAAGGACATAAGGAGTCAGCAAGCCGTTGAGTCGCTTCGCCAGTCTGTACGTGGGTGTGGGTATCTGGCTAATGATTGGCCGAAGTGGGTTTCCAGGCTTATGTGTCTTGACATTTCCATAGGCGTATGGATTCGCGTATGGTTACGCATATGGATATATATATATATATATATATATATATATATATATATATATATATATATATATATATATATATATATATATATATATATATATATATATATATTATATATATATATATATATATTATTTATTATATATATATATTTACACGAGGCTCCTCTTGATGATGTCGTTGACTCCTCATGACTTGCAATCTTACCCTGTGATTTACGGCATACCAGACCATGACGACCATATTGGTCTGCCATCGCAATTCCAAAGATGCACCTATGTTCAGTGAGGATGGGGCGGCAGGGCGAAGGGCAACTCCAATGCGGAGAGTGTCATGATTGAGGTGAGTTCCCAGTGCTGTATTAGGCACAGCATAATAATTAGGCACAGCCAACATTCATACAATAAATGAATGTAGGAATAAAGTGTTTAGACAGATTGAACAGACGTAAACTATACCTATAAGGTGCACGTTTCATACATGTTGAATAAAAAATGAAAACTGACAAGCAATTTTATGTTACTTGACAATAAATGACAATAAATGAAGTCATAGATTCTCTCCCCATGTGGTGAAGGTTGACATCAACCAATTTCTTTCAAAATTGGCACGTAAGCAGAGAAGTTTACGTTGTGTACGGTGTATTCGTTTCATGCAAATCCCCCGATAAAAAATACGAAAAACAAGAAAAATCAATTTTTTTTAACAAATTTGTTTTGCCATAAAACTAATGATTAAAATGCTTTATTATATGCTATTGTGATAGCTTAGAGTCATAGACGTGATTTCAGTTGACATTTGTGTTTGATGTTAATTTTTGACAATTTTGGAAAAATTTTGACACTAATAATGAGTATCTCAAAGCTTAAGAAGATCAAACTTCCTCCACCTATACTGTCTCTCGTGTTGTTAAATAGTTAACAGGGTAATATTATCCATTTTTTCTCAGCTAAATCTTGAAATTATAGGTACAAGCTTAGCAGAAATATTATTTTAATTTTTTTTCACAGCAAGAAGTTACTGATGTGAATGACTTGCATATAGTCATCATGCAAAGCTTCCTCCTTAATCTCGACGATGCATCCTACATTGTGTTTTATTTGCAAAATTTGACTATACAAAATTGTATAGCAAATAAAATATACGATAGAAATGCATAACAATACTTTAAAGTAACTTAGGGCCTTACTTAACATAGCCAATGTTAGGCCTAGATTATGTTAGATCAAGTCATTGTTCACGTTTATATATGTTGCTTATAATCTCTCTATTGTAATGATTTTATTTTGACAACATAGCAAAGTGTGAACTCTGAATAATGTATTATTTTGTATATAGAGTCGTATATTCTGTTGGCATATGCTCTCGGCCCTTTACTGGGCGCGCCTTATGCCTTAGCTCTACCTCCTAAACTCTCATTCTTAATTGCTGCTAACTGGAGATAATTGGAAACACCTTAACACTGCACTTGTACCTCTCAGTCATTTTCACCCGGAAATAATTCTTCCTCTCCACCAGCTGTGTAATCAAATGTATATTTTTAGTTTTTTCTCTTCTTGCTTACATGGTATAACTCTCTTTACCTACACCTATCACGCTCTATTATTTGGTTCCTAAACGTTTTTACCGATATATAGTAAGTTAGTCTTTAAATCAACAACAGTAATTCTCGATTCTCTAAATAATCCAGTCCAGGGGCATCAGTGACTTAATAGTTCAACCTGAAAATGGATTTTCACCTTTTTCATATCCAGATATTCATACTATAGATCTAATAAACGGCTTTTTATATGCAAATCTAACACCTAATAATTGAGATAATCATGAAAACGTCTACATCTTGTTACCCGCCATGTGCTTTAGGGGTGGCATGACAAATTTGTGCAAGATTGACACTCAACAATATTGTCAGTTTCTTAAAACAATCACTGGAGCTTGAGACAGGTAAAGAAAGTATTGGTCAAACCCTTAATAACAAAACTCTGGAAATCATTTAATACTGTAAGCATTACGTACAAATTATTGGAGCTGATTGCTTGGTCAATCAAAGAGATTGTGCTTGGTTTATAAAATGCTTGCCTAATACTCACACTCTTTTACTCCAAATATACTATGATACTCCCTCATTACAGATTTCCCTAGACACTTAATGACACTTGACACCTGTAATATGTCATCTTGTCAAATATTTTCCTTTACATGATCAATAATTTTTTACTTTCATAGTTCCAGACGAAGAGAATAAGCGCAAATCCCGAAAGAGTTATAAGATAGATATTTACAATCCACTCCAGTCAACGTTACAGACTGGAGACGAACTTAGCGCCTGTTATGATACCAAACAACTAGCAATGTCAGCTCTAGCCTGAAACACGTTTCAGTTTCCCTTGACGCAATGCACGAAGGTCATCAACGATGACGGCACATTACAGCACTCTCCAGACATTTTTACCAAACTAACTTTTCATATTCGGTGATGCCTGCTCTGGCTTCCTATGAATCGTCTTCATTTGCTAAGGAAACAAGAAATGAGAAACAATAGATTGATGATAAAATAATTTGTCTTTAAATACAACAAATATTAATACAGTAACCTTTAATAACCGAATTGGCACTGATGATTTTTGTTACTATGTTAAATACCGTTCAGATCTCATTAAGTACTGTGCTCTTTAGGTTTAATCTCCAAATATACGTATTTTTGCTTCCTAGTCAAATCAGAACGGTCTACATCATGCAGACAATGATTCACAATAACGAGGCTGGGGTATGATAACCAAAACACACATCTGAAAATGAAGAAACGACGAAGTTGCGGACCATCCTGGACCGTCCTGGACCGTCCTGGACTATTATGAAGTCGTAAAAACGTCATCGTTTCTTCATTTTTTTATATGTTGTTTTGTCATCAGGTCTGCAATATGTGTGATAATTAGGAATATGTGCAGTGTGTAAAGTACTAAGAATGTGGTTTTATTACAAGCGTTTATTAATTTTCAGGCTAAATATGGCCGCAAGTATAAGAACTCAGAAGAAGAAAATCACCGCAAGAGTGTGTTCCAGACAAATCTTCAGTTCATCGTCAAGTTTTCAAAGGAGAACTCTACCCACAACGTGGCGATGAACGAGTTTGGTGACATGGTTGGTCTCTGTGCCATGTGGTTATTATTGTGTTGGAATTATGACCCGGGATGAACCACTGGAACCAGAAAGCTATCCTGTGCTAGTCTCTAATGCATAATATTGTATTTCCTGAAATATATGTTTAAATTTCTCACACAAGCATTAACACAACCTATGGTGAAGAGGTCAGAATACTCGTCTCGCAATCAGTCAGACAGATGTAATTTTAAGCTTGGGGGGACGATGGCTCTTCGAACTTTAATTTCGCTCAGTTTTGTGCACTGAACCTTCATTACGTTGATCTCACTACACTGATCCTTCATTTCCAAACAATATTCAGTTCGCCCCTGTACAGTGACATAATATTCAATACGCCCCTGTACAAAGACTCAATTATCAATTTGCCATTGTACAACGACACACTATTCAGTTTGCCCTAAAACAACGACACACTATTCAGTTTGCCCTTATACAACGACACAATATTCAGTTTGCCCTTATACAACGACACAATATTCAGTTTGTCCTTGTACAACGACACAATATTCAGTTTGCCCTAAAACAACGACACACTATTCAGTTTGTCCTTGTACAACGACACAATATTCAGTTTGCCCTAAAACAACGACACACTATTCAGTTTGTCCTTGTACAACGACACAATATTCAGTTTGCCCTAAAACAACGACACACTATTCAGTTTGCCCTAAAACAACGACACACTATTCAGTTTGCCTTTGTACAACAATACAATATTCAATTTGTCCCTGTACAATGGCACAATATTCAGTTCGCTGCAATTAACTAGTAAATGCGTGGCAATTATTTTCCTGGATAGTAAGTGTTATTTTTTTCTGCTAATGCATCAAAAGCACAGAAAATGGCGCTAATTGCCTAAAAAATATGGTGTAAACTTTGACTGAGAGAGCTTTGGGAAGACGTGTTGAAGGGATGTGAAGGCTGCTGACTTATGAAGCAATGTCTGCTGACTTATGAAGCAATGTCTTTCCAGTCTCCGTAGTGTAGTGGTAAGACACTTGCCTGGGATTCTGCGACCGCTTTGTCAAGGGTTTGTATCCTGGCCGGGGAGGATTTACTGGGCGCAAATCCTTAACTGTAGCCTCTGTTTAACGCAACAGTAAAGTGTGTACTTGGTTGTAACAACGATTCTTCGCGGCGGGGATCGTATTCCAGGGACCTGCCCGAAACGCTACGCGTACTAGTTGCTGTACAAGAATGTAAGAACTGTTGTATAAATAAACAAAATGTGTCACAGCTCTAGATAAGGAGTAGCCAGCCTTCAAGTACCTCAGAGACCTCTTCCCTGTGGTTTCTTAAGCAAGATTCAAAGCAAAGTTTGAGAGGAATAATAACCATTTGCTGTAAATCAGAGGCATAAGCAACAAGTAAATAATACTTGCTTCGCAGTAACAAAAATAGTGTTACATTGTATAACAAATCAATAAATTCATCCCCCTTTGCACGTAGGAATAGTTAGGGACCTATCTGTAAATGATTGGCAATTCGTGTTATGAGGCTATATGACATTGATTAACTAAACCAGTTTCAGTACTTTACCTGCGTTTTAAATCCAACGTAACAAACTTAACCTATAAGATTAGCATAATTTTTTGCCTCATACTTGTAAAATAAATATTGTAGTGCATTAAATATATTGCTTCGTCACGAGTCCAAACTAACTTGTTGTATGACAGACGAATGAAGAATTCAACAAAAGGATGAACGGATACGTACCTTCGTCGTCCCGAGAGGCCAACACAGTATTCAGCCCCCAGACAAGGGTCCTGCCAGCTGCTGTGGATTGGCGCACCAGCGGCTACGTCACTCCTGTCAAGAACCAGTTACAATGTGGCTCTTGTTGGGCATTTTCTGCGGTAAGTATTTTGTCCTCGTTCCAAAGGGATGGTAAATGGCCAGAGTGTTGTAAGTGATACTCTTGTAGCAAGCAATCTGCATGACAAGTTAGTGGTCCACTTCATGGGAAGTTTACTTCTTCAATAAATATTTCTTCTCAACCTATAAGTGGACTGCCTCTTCTTCAGCGATTTTTTATAACCTTGAATATTATACGTCTAACTTCAAAAATAACTGTTTTACCGAGGAAATTGTCAGGGGCAGTAACGAGGATTCATTTGAACAAATCCACAGGGCCGTGACGAGGATTCGAACCTACGTCCGAGAGCATCCCAGATGCTGCATTTATCGACTGAGCTACGACATGTTCACCTTTGTGGATTTGTTCATTTGATGCATCACGCTATTATGATTTCTGTGTTTAATGAGGATTCGAACCTATGTGCTGGGTATTCCCCAGACACCCAGGTATTTTGGCTGGAGTCACAGGTATTTTGTAATGTTTCTCATTGATATGTCACGTTACTGTGATTTCTTTGTGAACTATTTTATTATGTTAACCAAATTAAAATGTCTATTCTAAAGAAAGTTCTGCAGCTTCAGTGATACGCAGATTGACTTTGAGTTTATGATTTATAACTTTTGTTAGTTTCAGCATATACTACAAATACCACATGACGTACTTAAAGGTCAGGGAAAAGTAAATACAATAGCAGCTAAAGTGAGGGATGAAATTTTAATACTTTTAGATTTTAATCACAAGAGACACAGATTTGATCAATCAATTGAACATTCTGTTCAAAAACACACAGAAACCATATTTAATTTGATCATGTACAGAATATATACCCTAGTTCATCACACACAGGACATACACTCTACTCCATCACACACAGGACATACACTCTACTCCATCACACACAGGACATACACTCTACTCCATCACACACAGGACATACACTCTACTCCATCACACACAGGACATACACTCTACTCCATCACACACAGGACATACACTCTACTCCATCACACACAGGACATACACTCTACTCCATCACACACAGGACATACACTCTACTCCATCACACACAGGACATACACTCTACTCCATCACACACAGGACATACACTCTACTCCATCACACACAGGACATACACTCTACTCCATCACACACAGGACATACACTCTACTCCATCACACACAGGATATACACTCTACTCCATCACACACAGGACATACACTCTACTCCATCACACACAGGACATACACTCTACTCCATCACACACAGGATAAACACTCTACTCCATCACACACAGGATATACACTCTTCTCCATCACACACAGGACATACACTCTACTCCATCACACACAGGATATACACTCTTCTCCATCACACACAGGACATACACTCTACTCCATCACCCACAGGATATACACTCTACTCCATCACACACAGGACATACACTCTACTCCATCACACACAGGATATACACTCTACTCCATCACACGCAGGATATACACTCTTCTCCATCACACACAGGACATACACTCTACTCCATCACACACAGGACATACACTCTACTCCATCACACACAGGATATACACTCTACTCCATGACACACAGGATATACACTCTACTCCATCACACACAGGATATACACTCTACTCCATGACACACAGGATATTCATTCTTCTCTATCACACATAAGATATATACTTTTCTCAATCACACACAGGAAACAATCATCTATATATAACATTCCAGAAACACATTTAATCCATGACGCACGATAAAACTCGTTCTGTTCATTCATTCAAGGAAACACACACTATTCCATCATATACAGGAAACTCACACTATTCTATCTAACATAGGAAACACACACTATTCCATCAAACATAGGAAACACACAATATTCCATCAAACACCTAAAATACATTCTATACTATAACACACAGCCTGCATATTCTAATCCAGTATACATTGTAAACACACTATTCTTGATAACATAGCAGAGAAACGCTATTCTTAATCACAGCCAGTGATTATACTCTGCTTCATACCACACCAAAACCCACTATTCCATCATAAATTAGGAACATACTATACTCCTCCATACACCTGGAATACACTATTATTTCACACACCATAAACACATTGGTGGGAATTTACTTGTGGGAACAATTTTATTTTAATTTAATCTTATTTAATTAGTACCGAAATTTAAGTTAAGTATTGGTGTAAGTAAATTATATGTTTATTTAATTTAAAAGGTGTGGACTGTATCTTAGATCTCTACACAAATATATCCCACAGACTTGGGGGATTCAGCTATATATATTTCACTATTACTACTTAATTAATCAATAAATTATTGAATAATATGATTTATTTTATATATAAATTTAATTGGCTATACGAATATTAGAGAGTAAAGGCCTTAGCTGTAGGTGATGTTGGTGCTCAGACACGGAGACGTATTAGTCACGTGGGCCAAGCGTCTCTGCCTGACGACAAGAGGTGACTACGACGTCCCTCCCGGGGCAGTCAATAAGCCTTTCCTTCATAATGCATAATCCCTTCCCTTCTCCAAGTTTATATCTCAGCCTGCCCACAATTTACTATATAATGTTGTTCACAAATTATTAGAATTATTTAATCACGAACTAAAGTGATATATCGGTTAAGACTGCTTACTCCTTGGGGCTGGTCTTCCTACCTCATAACCATAACTAATCAGTAATGCTCGATTGCCCATACGTTACTAATGTATCAAAAATGGAACGAGGTACCTCCTGAGAAGTAGACATATCATTCCCATTTAGTCCCCATGGTGCAGTGGTAAGGCACTCGCCAGACCCTACGCGAGTGCTTTGGCCTGGGTTCGAATCCTGGCCGGAGAGGATTTACAGGGTGACAGTCCTAAACTGTAGCCTCTGTTCACCCAGCAGTGAATGGGTACCTGGTTGTTAAATTATTTGGTGGGGTCGCATTCCGGAGAAAATTAGGATTAAGGACCTGCCTGAAATGCTTTGCGTGCTAGTGGCTTTACAGGAATGTAGAAACTCTCGTATATAAAAATAAGTGAATTAAATAAATAAAATTCATCAGTGGAATCATAGAAGCCTGGCTAATGTAGGAAAACCCAGCACTCTGTCGTGTGTCTCGTTAAGAAGTTGTTATGGTGGCAAGTTCCTCTCTCCCAGAAGAGGCGTTCGTACGTGGCAAAATGTTATCGTATTCCGGGAGGGAGCGGTGGTGGTTAAAGCTTACTTTCTTTGAAATAAGCTCAAATTTATTTTATTACGTTAATTTATGCATAAGGAAATCCTCAGACTGTACGAATTACATGTTTATGATCAAACACAAATTAGCTCTGTCATTCAATGATATTTGCTGACGTGAGAGGCCATTTCTGATAAATGAATGGAATAATTAATTTCAAGTCTTCCTGTTTAAGTAAATTTACTTGAATATTATTTTGGTAATTTTACATAGCAACAGAAAATACATTTTACTGGTGTATATTTTATTAAATGGAAACTAAGTAAATTTATATAGAACTAGGTGAGAAAGATTTCCCAAAACAATCTACTTCGTCACATATCAACACAAGCTGGAAACTAGCTATACTCATCTTACGCTTGGCAACACTAGTTATTTACATGGGAGAAACAATGTTAAGTCAAACACCGCAAACACAGTCTACTCCATTACACTTTGAGAACACACTCTACTTTATCAAATTCCTAAAACACTATTCCATTACCCATCGGAAACAAATTCTGATCTATCACAAGCGGATGCACTCCTCTCCATTACCCACTAAATACACATTAATTCATCATACCGGAAACACACTTCTCTATCACAAATAAAAAATACACTGTACTCCGTCATTCTCCGAGCACATACAATACTCCTTCAAACACCGAAAACATTCACTTCAAGGTCACACCTTTTCTAACACATTCCATAACACTTCCTAATGCTCTGCTCCATTATAAAACGATAACACACTCACCTCAATCACACACTGGAAAAACACTCTTCTTCATCACACACAGGGAATAAAATCTACTCCCTCAGACACACGGAATGCAATGTTCTCCATCACACGCCAAAACACACCCAGATTCATCACCCACCAGGAACACTCTCTGCTCTATGACACACCAGATCTCACTCAACTCCATCACACCCTGGAATCAAACTCTGATTTACCTCACTTCAGAAACACACTCTACTATACCAGTCTCCGGAAATATACTGGACATATATATACCATCACTAAGAACATACTCTACTCTATAACACAATAGAAGCACACTGTGCACTATAACACTCAGAAAACACTCTCCGCTCCATCATACACCTAGATTAAACACCACTTCATCACACACCAAAGACAAACACTGTTTCCCTATTCATCATTAAAAGGGTTTACTCAGTCCCAAAATATTGAGCAGGAGTACTCTGCTCCTCTACACACCGATTAATTAGTCACCTTTATTACACACACAAAACTCATTACATTCCATCCCATTCATAAATCACGTTCTACCCCTATTTATACTACTCTATATTCTACACATAAGGAACATAATATACTTCATTAAACACCAGTATCACTTCCTACTCCATCACACACAGAGAGCACACTATACTCCATCAGACACAGGGAGCACACTATACTCCATCACACACAGGGAGCACACTGTACTCCATCACACACAGAGAGCACACTATACTCCGTCACAGATAGGGAACACACTCTACTCCATCACACACAGAGAGCACACTATACTCGATCACACACAGGCAGCACACTATACTCCATCAGACACAGGGAGCACACTATACTCCATCACAGATAGGGAACACACTCTACTCCATCACACACAGAGAGCACACTATACTCGATCACACACAGGCAGCACACTATACTCCATCACACACAGGGAGCACACTATACTCCATCACAGATAGAGAGCACACTCTACTCCATCACACATAGGGAGCACAATGTACTCCATCACACACAGGGAGCACACTATACTCGATCACACACAGGGAACACACTCTACTCCATCACACACATTGAACACACACTATTCCATCACACACAGGGAACACATACTCCCCCATCAGACACAGGGAAGACACATTACTCCATCACACACAGGGAACACACACTACTCCCTCACACACACACAGGGAACATGATCTACTCAATCATACACAGTGAACATGATCTATTCCATCACACATAGGGAACATGATGTATTCCATCACACATAGGGAACATGATCTACTCCACTACACACTGGGAACATGATCTACTCCATCACACACAGGGAACATGAACTATTCCATCACACATAGGGAACATGATCTACTCCTTCACACACAGGGAACATGATCTACTCCATCACACACTGGGAACATGATCTATTCCATCACACACACAGAGGAACATGATCTACTCCATCACCCGAAGGAACATTATCAATGAACTCATAAACTCTGCACCTTCCATCACATAAACTGTGCCTCATCCATCACATAAATTTTTCTCCATCAATCACATAAACTGTGTTCCATCCATCACATAAACTATGCTCTATCAATCACATAAATTTTTCTCCATCATTCACATAAACTGTGTTCCATCCATCACATAAACTATGCTCCATCAATCACATAAACTGTGTTCCATCCATCACATAAACTGTGCCTCATCCATCACATAAATTTTTCTCCATCCATCACATAAACTATGCTCTATCCATCACATAAACTGTGTTCCATCCATCACATAAAGTGTGCCTCATCCATCACACAAACTGTGCTCTATCCATCATACAAACTGTGATGGATAATTTGGAAACACACGTGGAAACACTATGTACCATCACACACTGTACGATGTGTAAATTCTGGTCGATCACACAATGGACTCTCAATATTTACTATCTAACATAAACTATGCCTACTAGCATGATCTAAACACATCTTGGTGAGAACAACAAGGTGAGTACATCTATGCTATGCTTTAATTCACACTTCACAAAGTGTCATCATAAGTGTTGACTGTAAGTAAGTCTGGCAACTGGAGCCTGCTTCTGCTACTTTATTTGCCAGGATTTTGGTGGATCGCTCCATTAACATGAATGTATATATATAACAGAAAATTATATTCTGGGTTAGAGCATCTTGGCATTAACATATTGCGAATTTTTCCTCAATAATGTGACGTGACTAAATATAGATACCATGATCGGCAGTGGTGCTTAAGGTGCTTTGCTTACTTATCATCCTGGCACACCTGCAAGAAAGATTCTCTGCCTGGCTTTTTACACAGACCGGCTCCTTGGAGGGTCAACAGTTCCGAAAATCCGGCAAACTTGTGAGACTCTCCGAGCAGCAGCTGGTCGACTGTGCCGGCGGTGTTTACCAAAACCAGGGATGTAACGGTGGCTTGATGAATTATGCCTTTAACTACCTCAAGGCTTATGGGTCTGACAGTGAAGCTTCCTACCCTTACGTGGGAGTGGTAAGTGGTCCTTATCTACACTGCACGTTCTTGGTTGCAAACTGACAATTATATTGTTTAAAATTATTATATTTGTTTGTAAAGATCATTTTTACTTCTATGTTTTATGATATTAACAGAATATATTTTTGCAAGACAGAGATAATTTTTTTTTATTTTAATATTTGCAGCAAGGGACTTGCAAGTTCTCAGCAAGCAACATCGCCGCCAGAGTAACTGGCTATGTCAACGTAGCTTCACAAAGTGAGAGTGCTCTGATGACAGCCATAGCGACCGTAGGTCCCATCTCTGTGGCCATCGATGCCGGCCACTCATCATTCCAGTTCTACAGCGGTGGTGAGCTCACACCCGTATATATGCAAATGGAGGGTCCATCAAAATAAGTGAATATATTAGAGGTAGTTGAGGTAACGGATTAGTCTCAGGGACTTGATAAATCAAAGGCAAACAAAAGACGAACAAAAGAGGAAGGACTTGAGAACAAAGGACAATAAAACCGTTTTTACATGGAACTAAAAGAAGCTGTAGAAATCCTAGGGCTTAAAGATGAAAGTATCATTACCTGCAAGCCAAAGATGTGTTTTTTTTAATTTGTTCATTATTTTCCAACACTGACATGGTCACACATTTACAATGCTAACCAAAATATATACATTTCAACATGTTATCCTTGGACATGAATTAAACATACAATATGGGACGTCCGTTAAACCTATAATTCAATGATTTTTTGAACAATAAACCACAGAAGGTTATTGTACTACTTTTAAAAGGCTAATATAATTTACATACATAAATATACAAATACACAGATTTACGACTGTCTTACATAAACACTGTTCAAGGTGTTCTTAACAATGTCATTATTGTGCGTTTACAAAGGTGAAGTGCAATTCTGACCAGCTTACCCATATCCTGTATACACGTACGTACACACACACACACACACATACATACATACATACATACATACATATATATATATATATATATATATATATATATATATATATATATATATATATATATATATATATATATATATATATATATATATATATAATCTTTGGACAACACACACCAGTGGGCCTCGAACCCAGAAAGCACAACTACCTTCCAGTAGCTGCCATAACTAGTACGCCTTAACCCACTACACCATCAGACCCTTAAAAGAAGTAGAGACTTCGAGATATATATATACACCTCAAATAACTCCACTTCCCAAGGGCACTAGACAAGTAACTACGCATAGTAACCTCTCACTTGTCTAGTGCCCTTGGGAAGTGGAGATATTTGAGGTGTATATATATCTCGAAGTCTCTACTTCTTTTAAGGGTCTGATGGTGTAGTGGGTTAAGGCGTACTAGTTATGGCAGCTACTGGAAGGTAGTTGTGCTTTCTGGGTTCGAGGCCCACTGGTGGGTGTTGTCCAAAGATTGTTAATCTTCACTTGTGGTTTAAGCAAGTATAGGCATATATATATATATATATGCCTATATATGTATATATATATATATTGGTGTATACTGGCAGCAGGTTTTCTTTCAAACATGTTTCATTGAATATGACCGCATATTCTGTATTTATTATTTTCTGGTTTAGGGCTTCTATCCCTCTAACTATTTTCTTAGCATCAGGGCTTAATTGGAATAGGAGTTCTCCAAAACTCATTTTCGTACTTTTAAGGTGAAGAAAAGAAGTGATTTACTATAGAGTATATTACACTTATTTGTATAATTTGCACGACGTTTCGAACCTCCATGGTTCATTCTCAAGTGAACAGATCTTACAATACTAGTTGATTTTATACCCGCATTAGGTCAGGTGATAATACAATGAAGGTGAAAACATGGGGGGATACATAAGGGATAAACATAGGGGCTGCAGAAGGCTTATTGGCCCATACGAGGCATCTCCTATCTAAACACAAAGATTAATTAATGTTTAGATAGGAGATGCCTCGTATGGGCCAATATGCCTTCTGCAGCCCCTATGTTTATCCCTTATGTATCCCCCCATGTTTTCACCTTCATTGTATTATCACCTGACCTAATGCGGGTATAAAATCAACTAGTATTGTAAGATCTGTTCACTTGAGAATGAACCATGGAGGTTCGAAACGTCGTGCAAATTATACAAATAAGTGTAATATACTCTATAGTAAATCACTTCTTTTCTTCACCTTAAAAGTACGAAAATGAGTTTTGGAGAACTCCTATTCCAATTAAGCCCTGATGCTAAGAAAATAGTTAGAGGGATAGAAGCCCTAAACCAGAAAATAATAAATACAGTATATATATATGCATATATATATATATATAAATATATATATATATATATATATATATATATATATATATATATATATATATATATATATATATATATATATATATATATATATATATATATATATATATATATATATATATATATATATATATATATATATGTCGTACCTAGTAGCCAGAACGCACTTCTACGCCTACTATGCAAGGCCCGATTTGCCTAATAAGCCAAGTTTTCATGAAATAATTGTTTTATAACTACCTAACCTACCTAACCTAACCTAACCTAACTTTTTCGGCTACCAAACCTAACCTAACTTATAAAGATAGGTTAGGTTAGGTTAGGTAGGGTTGGCTAGGTTCGGTCATATATCTACATTAATTTTAACTCCAATAAAAAAAATTGACCTCATACATAATGAAATGGGTAGCTTTATCATTTCATAAGAAAAAAATTAGAGAAAATATAATAATTCAGGAAAACTTGGCTTATTAGGCAAATCGGGCCTTGCATAGTAGGCTGGGAAGTGCGTTCTGGCTACTAGTTACGACATATATATATATATATATATATATATATATATATATATATATATATATATATATATATATATATATATATATATATATATATATATATATATATATATATAACTGAAAACTCACACCCCAGAAGTGACTCGAACCCATACTCCCAGATGCCACGCAACTGGTATGTACAAGACGCCTTAATCCACTTGACCATCACGACCGGACAAAATGAGGTGATAGCCGAGGCTATTTGAACCACCCCACCGCCGGCACTCGGATAGTAATCTTGGGCATAGCATTTTACCAAATCACCTCATTCTTTGGGGCACACGTGAGGAACACAAATGCGAACAAGCCTGAATGGTCCCCAGGACAATATGCAACTGAAAACTCACACCCCAGAAGTGACTCGAACCCATACTCCCAGATGCCACGCAACTGGTATGTACAAGACGCCTTAATCCACTTGACCATCACGACCGGACAAAATGAGGTGATAGCCGAGGCCATTTGAACCACCCCACCGCCGGCACTCGGATAGTAATCTTGGGCATAGCATTTTACCAAATCACCTCATTCTTTGGGGCACACGTGAGGAACACAAATGCGAACAAGCCTGAATGGTCCCCAGGACAATATGCAACTGAAAACTCACACCCCAGAAGTGACTCGAACCCATACTCCCAGATGCCACGCAACTGGTATGTACAAGACGCCTTAATCCACTTGACCATCACGACCGGACAAGATTACTATCCGAGTGCCGGCGGTGGGGTGGTTCAAATAGCCTCGGCTATCACCTCATTTTGTCCGGTCGTGATGGTCAAGTGGATTAAGGCGTCTTGTACATACCAGTTGCGTGGCATCTGGGAGTATGGGTTCGAGTCACTTCTGGGGTGTGAGTTTTCAGTTGCATATTGTCCTGGGGACCATTCAGGCTTGTTCGCATTTGTGTTCCTCACGTGTGCCCCAAAGAATGAGGTGATTTGGTAAAATGCTATGCCCAAGATTACTATCCGAGTGCCGGCGGTGGGGTGGTTCAAATAGCCTCGGCTATCACCTCATTTTGTCCGGTCGTGATGGTCAAGTGGATTAAGGCGTCTTGTACATACCAGTTGCGTGGCATCTGGGAGTATGGGTTCGAGTCACTTCTGGGGTGTGAGTTTTCAGTTGCATATTGTCCTGGGGACCATTCAGGCTTGTTCGCATATATATATATATATATATATATATATATATATATATATATATATATATATATATATATATATATATATATATATATATATATATATTGGTATATTTGGTAGCAGTCTTTCCTGTAGACATATATTATTAAATATGACCGAAAAAGTAAGATTAATAATTCTAACACGAATTTTCTCAAGTTTTCTTATATTTTTCTTCACTGTCGATGGTAACTGAAAAATCAATTCTCCAAAATTCATTTTTATTTCTAGTCTGACGCGACACTTGAGCACGTTTCGTAAAACTTATTACATTTTCAAAGACTTTAGTTTACTCACACACAACTTATAACTGAACAGAGCTTAAACATCTTCGATTTTATACCTGCATTTGGGTGAGGTGATATGTTACAACAGTTTTTGATGAGGTGAAAACAAACTTTCAACACAAGACAGAACACGAAACAATAGGTATAATATTTTGTAAGTTAAAGGGAAGAATGGAAGTAACTGCAAAGGTCCTATTGGCCCATATTTCTTGATGCTTCTATAATGGTGCAGAGTCTTGAAGTGGGTATAATATAGTTGTGCATTAATTGGCTGTTGATTGCTGGTGCCGACTTCTTAATGTGTAGTGCCTCGCAGATATCTAGCCGCCTGCTATCGCTGTATCTATCGATGATTTCTGTGTTTTTTTATAAGACTTCTCTGGTGATGGTCTGGTCTGGTTGTGGGAAGAGATTATATGTTCCTTAATGGAGCCTTGTTGCTTATGCATCGTTAATCGCCTGGAAAGAGATGTTGTTGTCTTGCCTATATACTGAATTCTTTAAGGCTTACAGTCCACAAGTGGATATTTGAAGGCATAGACGACATTGGTCTCTTTTAAAGCGTTCTGCTTTGTGTCTGGAGAGTTTCTCAAGAGTAGGTTGGCCGTTTTCTTGGTTTTAGAGTAGATCGTCAATTGTATCTTCTAATTTTTGTCTGTAGGGATAGCGTTTCTATTAACAATATCTTTCAGGACCCTTTCCTCCGTTTTATGAGCTGTGGAAAAGAAGTTCCTGTAAAATAGTCTAATAGGGGGTATAGGTGTTGTGTTAGTTGTCTCTTCAGAGGTTGCATGGCGTTTCACCTTCCTTCTTATGATGTCTTCAACGAAACCATTGGAGAAGACGTTGGTGCAAGAGTATGATTCTTCAAACATCCTGGCGTCAAAACAAAAGTTGGCCGAAAGAATAATCAAAACAGGCAAAAGGTTGGCGGGAAATGACAAGGAGAAGTGGGGGAGAGAAAAACGAAACATAAGGAAAAGGAAAAGTCGTCCAGCAGAATTCGTGAGGACATCAGCAGGAGCGTAGAGCCACAAAAGGACAGAGGACTGTCCCATGGAGTATCACACCCCCAGCAGCCGCCCACCAAGCCCCCTCACGGCAACAACGAGCAAGAGAGGGAGGGGGAAGAGATGTTTAGCAAATTAGATGATAGTTCAATGCAAGGGATCTGAATCTCTTCTTAAAAATCGGAACCACATTTGCAACTGTACTCTGTTCGACTCCCATGATTTATTAAATATTCTGGACAAGGTTTCATTAAGCTCATCTATATTATTCATTAATCACCGTTCAAATATTCGTTTTGCACTTGTACATGTTGGGCTTTAATTGTTGTGTTCATATAAAGACATCCTCTACAGTAAACTAGTCAACGTGTCCTCTTCACAATCTACATATATATACATCTCAGCTGCAGATATATTATCAAGATCTTTAGTAAATAAAGACAAATAATTTATTACAAATATCCCCCATTTCTTTCTAATGATATAATTATCTTATCTGTCTCACTTTTCAATAGCTGAGTCGTCTCCCTAATCTTTGTTTATTATATCTACAAAGTAACATTATTTTATTAGGTTTCTAATGTTTATGTTATATTCTAAAACCAATATTCGAGAATTTGCGTAAAAAAGGCCATTTTTTAGTGCAAATCTGGGTAAATGTGGATACATATATTAATGTGTGATTGTGTTGCAGGTGTGTACTATGAGCCGACGTGCTCGTCAACCAAACTTAACCACGGTGTACTGGCAGTGGGTTATGGTACTGACACCTCAGGAAAAGCCTACTATATCGTTAAGAACTCCTGGGGCACCACCTGGGGCTCGGCTGGGTACATTTTGATGGCTCGTAACAGGAATAACAATTGTGGTATTGCCACTGCTGCTTCCTACCCGACGGTGTAGTTATTGTAGAACTACCAGTTCAGAGAGAATAGGGAAAGCTGAATAATGAATATTTCTATGGCAGGAGGGACACAAATTTAAAATAAACCTGTTTCTACACATTGATTCTGTCATGAAATAAAGTACTTGCATTATATTCTCATTAATTTACCTTAAAACGTTTTGCAATATAAGCTTACAAGTTTTCAGTTCAAGATGTAATTCATTAGATAAAAGGTAAACGCCCAACAGGCAACATGATGCCTTTCCTTTAACCATATATATATATATATATATATATATATATATATATATATATATATATATATATATATATATATATATATATATGTGTGTATATCACGAAAATAAACACGTGATTAAGAATGTGACAATGTCAGACCACGGAGGAAAAATGAAACAGGAAATTTCCTTAAGTACTTTCGTATATTAAATACATCTTCAGAAGGTAGTATTTACTCTTCTGAAGATGTATTTAATATACGAAAGTACTTAAGGAAATTTCCTGTTTCATTTTTCCTCCGTGGTCTGACATTGTCATATATATATATATATATATATATATATATATATATATATTACATTTTCAAAGACTTTACACATACACAACTGAATAGAACTTACATATCTCCGATTTGTTTATATCTACAGTTGAGTGAGGTGGATGGGGTGAGGTGGTATTTAATAGGGTATTAATTTCATCAACACAAGACAGAACACGAAACAATGGGTATTGAAATGGAAGTGATTGTAGAAAGCCTATTGGTCCATATTTCTTGATGCTTCTATATTGGAGCGGAGTCTTGAGGTGGATAGAATATAGTTGTGCATTAATTGGCTGTTGATTGCTGGTGTTGACTTCTTAATGTGCAGTGCCTCGCAAACGTCAAGCCGTCTGCAATCGCTGTATCTATCGATGATTTCTGTGTTGTTTACTAGGATTTCTCTGGCGATGGTTTGGTTGTGGGAAAAGATTATATGTTCCTTAATGGAGCCCTGTTGCTTATGCATCGTTAAACGCCTAGAAAGAGATGTTGTTGTCTTGCCTATATACTGTTTTTTTTGGAGCTTACAGTCCCCAAGTGGGCATTTGAAGGCATAGACGACGTTGGTATCTTTTAAAGCGTTCTGCTTTGTGTCTGGAGAGTTTCTCATGAGTAGGCTGGCGTTTTTCTGGTTTTATAGTAAATCGTCAGTTGTATCCTCTGATTTTTGTCTGTAGGGATAACGTTTCTATTAACAATATCTTTCAGGACCCTTTCCTCCGTTTTATGAGCTGTGGAAAAGAAGTTCCTGTAAAATAGTCTAATAGGGGGTATAGGTGTTGTGTTAGTTGTCTCTCCAGAGGTTGCATGGCGTTTCACTTTCCTTCTTATGATGTCTTCGACGAAACCATTGGAGAAGCCGTTGTTGACTAGGACCTGCCTTACCCTACAGAGTTCTTTGTCGACTTGCTTCCATTCTGAGCTGTGGCTGAGAGCACGGTCGACATATGCGTTAACAACACTCCTCTTGTACCTGTCTGGGCAGTCGCTGTTGGCATTTAGGCACATTCCTATGTTCGTTTCCTTAGTGTAGACTGCAGTGTGGAAACCTCGGCTCTTTTCCATGACTGTTACATATAGAAAGGGCAGCTTACCATCCTTTTCCACCTCGTAAGTGAAACGCAGCACGGAACTCTGCTGAAATGCCTCCTTCAGCTCCTGCAGATGTCTGACATCAGGTACCTGTGTAAAAATGTCGTCAACATACCTGCAGTATATGGCCGGTTTAACAATGCATAAGGAACAGGGCTCCATTAAGGAACATATAATCTCTTCCCATAACCAAACCATCGCCAGAGAAATCCTATTAAACAACACAGAAATCATCGATAGATACAGCGATAGCAGGCGGCTTGACGTTTGCGAGGCACTACACATCAAGAAGTCAACACCAGCAATCAACAGCCAATTATTGCACAACTATATTCTACCCACCTCAAGACTCCGCTCCAATATAGAAGCATCAAGAAATATGGACCAATAGGCTTTCTACAAACACTTCTATTCAATACCCATTGTTTCTGTTCTGTCTTGTGTTGATACTTTTAATACCCTATTAATATCCCCTCCTGTTCTGTCTTGTGTTAATGCCACATCACCCTTCCCACCTCACTCAAATGTAGATATAAAATCAGAGATACGTTCTAATCAGTTGTGTATTTGTGAAGTCTTTGAAAATGTAATAAGTTTTACGAAACGCGCCCGTGTCGCGTCAGACTAGAAATAAAAATGAATTTTGGAGAAGTGATTTTGATTTACCTCCAACAGTGAAGCGTAATGTACGAAAGATTGAGAAAATTAGTGTTAGAATTATTAATCTTACTTTTTCGGTCATATTTAATAATATATATATATATATATATATATATATATATATATATATATATATATATATATATATATATATATATATATATATATATATATATATATATATATATATAGATATATATATATATATATATATATATATATATGTCGTACCTAATAGCCAGAACGCACTTCTCTGCCTACTATGCAACGCCCGATTTGCCTAATAAGCCAAGTTTTCATGAATTAATTGTTTTTCGACTACCTAACCTACCTAACCTAACCTAACTTTTTCGGCTACCTAACCTAACCTAACTTATAAAGATAGGTTAGGTTAGGTTAGGTAGGGTTGGTTAGGTTCGGCCATATATCTACGTTAATTTTAACTCCAATAAAAAAAATTGACCTCATACATAATGAAATGGGTAGCTTTATCATTTCAAAAGAAAAAAATAGTGAAATATATTAGTTTCAGGAAAACTTGGCTTATTAGGCAAATCCGGCCTTGCATAGTAGGCTGAGAAGTGCGTTCTGGCTACTAGGTACGACATATATATATATATATATATATATATAATGTCGTGCCTAGTAGCCACAACGTTCTTCTCAGCCTACTATGCAAGGTCCTATTTGCCTAATAAGCCAAAGTTTTCCAGAATTTATATATTTTCTCTATTTTTTTCTTGTGAAATGATAAAGCTACCCATTTCATTATGTATGAGTACAATTTTTTTTTATTCACGTTAAAATTTACGTAGATATAAGACCGAACTTAACCAACCCTACCTATCCTAACCTAACCTATCTTAACCTAAAGTAAACTAATATAACTGGGTCAATACTTTATGTTTCTAATCTAATATAATATTATTAACTCAAACAATATGGAGCAAATTATTTAAAAAAACGAAAATCACTCGGTCTATTAGGCAAATCGGGCATAGCCTAGTAGGCCGAGAAGGGCGTTCTGGCTACTAGGTACGACGTTTGTGTATATATATATATATATATATATATATATATATATATATATATATATATATATATATATATATATATATATATATATATATATATATATATATATATATATATATATATATATATATATATATATATGCGAACAAGCCTGAATGGTCCCCAGAACAATATGCAACTGAAAACTCACACCCCAGAAGTGACTCGAACCCATACTCCCAGAAGCAACGCAACTGGTATGTACAAGACGCCTTAATCCACTTGACCATCACGACCGGACATAATGAGGTGATAGCCGAAGCTATTTGAACCACCCCACCGCCGGCACTCGGATAGTAATCTTGGGCATAGCATTTTACCAAATCACCTCATTCTTTGGGCACACGTGAGGAACACAAATGAGAACAAGCCTGAATGGTCCCCAGGACAATATGCAACTGAAAAACTCACACCCCAGAAGTGGGTTCGAGTCACTTATATATATTGTGACGGTAAAGTGTTGGAGTGTTGATGTTCGGCAGTCCTCCAATGGCAGGTGTCAATGCCTTGTCACACTTACATAAAAAAAGAGACTGCTTGTCTGTGGTAAGGTAATGGGAAGACACACAAAACACAAAATATAAACAATGAAATTTTAATTACTTTAGAAAACAAGATATGAACAAAGACAATCCCTTGGCTTACGTAAAATTCAAAACAAGTCAACAAACAAAACATGAATAATTAATAGATGTGAAAATTTACTCTAAAACAAAATAATGTGCAAGGCAATAATAATAATCAGGTGCTGAGAATATTGGCTAGAGCTGCCACCTCCCTTAGTACACGACAGCCAGGGCTTAGTCTACCAGAGAGAGATGTCAACTTCTAAGAGCACAGAGATATTCTGAGGAGGACGGCGTGAGCTGGCCCAGACGTCGACTCAGGTAGAGGGCGTGAGTGCAGGTGCAGGTGTGCTGTCGGCGATACACCAACCAATCAGGAGCAGGCAGGCGGAGAATGGGTACTTTGCTCGTTGACGACGGGTGGAGAGCCGGCGTGTCGGGTGGTGCAAGGTACGCTTTGCTTCCTGGGCAAAACGTTTGGTGATACTGGTGGACGTATCTTTAATATAGCATCTTGTACTTGTAGAATGAGGTAAATGATATAGGGAAGAGCAGGCTCAATCTCTCTTGAAAGAGATTATCGTCACAATATATATATATATATATATATATATATATATATATATATATATATATATATATATATATATATATATATATATATATATATATATATATTAATATATTTTGGTAGCAGTCTTTCCTGTAGACATATATTATTAAATATGACCGAAAAAGTAAGATTAATAATTCTAACACTAATTTTCTCTTACGTTTCTTTTCTTTCTTACGTTTCTTTTCACTGTTGATGGTAATTCAAAGATCAATTCTCCAAAATTCATTTTTATTTCTAGTCTGACGCGACACTTGAGCGCGTTTCGTAAAACTTATTACATTTTCAAAGACTTTAGTTTACAAACACACAACTGAAACTGAATAGAGCTTGCACATCTTCGAGTTTATATCTACATTTGGGTGAGGTGGATATGATATGTGGGAAGATATGATATGTGGGAAGAGATTATATGTTCCATTAAGGAACATATAATCTCTTCCCACAAAC